GAGATAATAATTCGGCCCTCTCTGGTGGCGCAGTGGGTTAAAGCACTGCACTAAAAAGCTTAAGCCACTTCTGCATGAGTTCGATCCCCGCCTGCCCCGGAGGTGACCACATGGCGTGGCAGACCTCTCCTGACCCGCCCGCTGCTCCCCTCAGCAGTGTACTTCGTCCATCTGCCTATTCTGCTCCCCACTCTGTTCCTGGTGAATCCTCTCACCCTCCGCATCTCTGGCCTGTACCCCAGTTCTGTATGAATAAATAAATAATCTTTAAAAAAAAAAAAAGAGAGATAATAATTCACTTGAAACACTGGAAGCAGCACAGGAAAGTCAACACTGTAGCTCTGAATATTTTTCCAAGGCATTCTTTCAATATACTTCATAAATACATACATATTCAATTTATAATAAACTTTTTATTTTGCACAATCAACAAAAGCAACAGTCCAGAATAAGAACCAAAAACACCAAATTGATTTTTCAATCTCATGTTTCAGTTCTAGGGAGTCTATTTTTGTGTAAGACAGTAGCCCACTCTGTATCCAAACAAGTTTGTATCACATTTCATTACTGGTAAATTAACTGGACTCCTGATACTGCTTCTTCATAGATTTGAAGAAAAAAAATCCTTTGTTTTGACACAGGAATTAGGCTAAAGTGAAGGTAGCTGTTGAAAATGAAGTATACTCAGCAGCCAGCAGATGGAGCCGTTGAGAAATGTAAAAGTTACTTAATTTTTTTTTTAGTTTGGTGAAATAAAACCAGATTAGGAATATAATTTTTTGGTGTGTAAATCATATGTTCACTGTAGAGAAATCTGGAGATGTAGTTAAAATTACAGAGGACAAAATTAATTTTTCAATATATATATAAATATTGAGAATATATTCATTTATTTTATAAAATGTGATCTTACAATTATAGTGTTTTATATATATATATTTATAATGCCTTCTATACTTAAAATATAAGGTATACTATCTTGTATGGACACTTCCAGGGATAATTCATAAAATATTATGGGCCTTCTGGTGCCACAGGGGGTTGGAGCCCAGCACTGCAAAGCTGGCAGCGGCCACTTCAGTTCCAGTTCGATCCCTGCCCTGGAGGTGACCCACATGGCGCGGCAGATCTCTCCTGACCCACCCGCTGCTCCCCTCAGCAGTGTACTTGGTCAATCTGCCTATTCTGCTTCCCACTATGTCTCGGGTGAATTCTCTCATGACTCCTGTACCCCAGTTCTGTATGCATATAAATAAAATCTTAAAAAAAAAACATAAAGTATTATAACTGTACAGGTCAGGCAAGAATGCATGAAAATAGTGACTGGTTATAGCTTGAACAGAATCTTGTATGTTTCCTGCTGTGCTGTGGCAGTAACTTTTGATGAATGATGAGTAGGATTTAGTCAGTGGCTGGAGTGCACAGGATGAAAGTATTTAAGGAGTAAGGGAGGCAATTATGTAACAACCAAGTATTTAATTATTTTTAGCAATTGATACAGCCACACCATACACAATAACTGAACTACTAGTTCTAGAAATAGCTGAAAGAATATAAAAGGATACCTACAATTATTAGACTCCTAGGAGGGAAAAAAATGTTTCATTATATTCCCTTTGATGCTCTGATTATATACTTTAATAAATATTTTAATAAAATATAACTAACTTTAATAAATACACATTTATGTCATTTTTGGTATACTATTCCATTGTGTGTATATGCCAAAATCTATTTAATGATCACTTATTATTGAACATTTTAATAAGTGATAAGAACACATATTTAAATGCATGCATTCATAACATATTTTTAAAGTAAGACACTTAGTCAGTGTTGGAGATTGCTGATTTGAAAATCTGGCAAATGAGGGGAAAGAATTCACCTTTACATAGCATCTTACCTGTCCTATATAAAGTGTACCAGTGGACAGTCAAATTATTTTCTGTGACCTGAAGTAGTCTAGCCAACTAATGAAAAAGGAATGATAGAATTAAGATATCATTATTTTTAAAATTTTAATGAAAACCACAGATCCAAATAATGAACACAAATATCCACTAATATCACACAGAGGAAACCAAACTTTAGCAGCAGCATAACAATAGTAGTAGTAGTTGTAGTAGTAGTAGTAATAGTAATAATAGTAGTGGCAGCAGTGGTGGTGGCAGTTGTAACACTAGCAGTAGACTTGCCATAAAAATCTAACCTGAATCTGAGAACCACCAGCAACCTACAGAGGTGAAATATTAAGGTAGCACAGACACAGTTCTCAAAGGAATGGATCAGTATAGATAGCAGGAATCACAGGAGAGAAGGAACTTGGATAGGAGAGAGTGCCAGGTGCCTAGTGTTAAGTTTTATATTATTGTGCTATATTTATAAGTGGGTCTCTAACTCTGCATCTTTCACATATGTTTTTAAATATATTGGGTGAAGTTTCTGAAGATTTCTACATTGGAGTATCTATGGCTTAGTTGAATGTAAAAACAGCATCTAGCTTTTGCTTTAAAAAGCGTTAAGATAAGAATGGGGCCTCCGGTGGCACAAGGCTTTGTTAAAGCACAGCACTTTGAAGCTATCCATAGCCACTGCAGCAGAATCCACAGCCAGGGAGGTTACCCCCTCAGTGTGGCAGACCTCTCCTATCTCCCCTCTGTTCCCCTCAGCAGTGTATTTCAGTCAACCTGACGTTCTGCCTCTCTGTCCCAGTTTTAGTACAAATAAATAAATAAAATCTTTATATATGTGTGTATATATATATGTATATATATATATATGTACATATATGTATATATATAGTACTCCCTTGGGCCCTCCCTCCCTAGTGGTGCAGCTGGTTAAAGCACAGCACTAAGAAGCTAAAGCCACTTCAGCATAAGTTCGATTACACTTGCTATTATGTGATTAAGACGACACTTTCCTTTGTGGTCTTCCTCTCAAAACCTCACAATCCCAGGCTAATCATGAGGGAAGCTCAGATGAATTCCAATAAAAGAGTAACCTACAGATATTTGACAAGTTTTCTGTAAAATTGTCAATATCATCAAAATTACGTAAAATCTGAGAAAATGGCAAAGGCAAGGGGAGCTTTAAGAGGAAATGACACCTGTATGTAGTATGGTATCAAAGATGGCATCTTATAATAGAAAGGACATTAGATAAAAGTTAGGAATCTTGAATAACTAAACTGTAGTTAATATTAATGGATCATTATTGGTTAAATATAACAACATGCCATAGTAATGTAAAAGGTTAGTAACAGAGAAATCTGTGTGAGGGAGTTGTATAGGAAGAGTTTACATGGGGACACTATTATCTACTTATTTTTTTCTGTGAATCTAAAATTATCCTAAGGATAGCCTATTAAAATAACCAAACAGGGGCCTCCCTGGTGGCACAAGGGGTCAATATCACAGCACTATAAAGCTATCTATAGCCACTGCAGTACTAGTTGGAGTCCCAGCTGGCCAGAAGCTGACCCACATGGTGCAGCAGACCTCTTCTGTTTCACCTAATGCTCACCTCAACAGTGCATTTCAGTAGGTCTGCCTGTCTTGCATCCCAGCACTCATATGCATTAATAAATAAATCTTTAAAAATAAAATAATCAAACAAACATGTAAATTAAGGACAGCAATTAATTACAACTTTTAAACAAAAAGGAATACATGAATTCATTCTGATCATGAATAAGGAAGGCTCTTCTCAATGGCACCAACAGAATTTATTAATCCTGTGGGGCAGGTCTAGGAGTTAGGGGGGAAAACCAGGTTTTTTTCTATCTGATTTTGTAACTATCATTGGTTGCAGCAAGAATAGTCAATGGAGGCTACACCATAAGATAGAGTTTGTTTAGGAGTAGGTATTTGCTTTGTCTCAAATTCTCTCCTTGAAGATTACTTATTGAGCTGGAGAATACTTGATCGGGTGACTGATTAATGTAAATTTATAATGGTCAGCCATCCTGTGCCTCTAGATATAACATCCTAAGGAAACAAATTATGTCATTTTGAGGGACGATGCATAACTTGAGTTTGATGAAGAGACATCAGATTATGATCTCTGTGGAAATTTTTAGTTGAGGGCTATCTTAATGGCACTGCTTGCTTTGGTGAGCCCTCTTGGTCTTAAGGCTGTTAAATAATCAAATATAAACACCCCAGACTGACTTTATTACATTTATAAATTTAAAAAAACGATCGCAACAGATTTACTTAACTATAAAGACTGAGTTTCCCTCACTAAGTATAGGGAAGAAAGCGAGATAAGAGTTGGGGGGAGCAGGTCTACAGAATGGGGGAAATGGCTGGAGAAGAGAAGGGACCCTGAGCTGAAGCTTGTTATTTGTTCCCTTAGTAGTTGCTACTACATAGTGCTTACTTCCGACAATTGTTGTAAATCCTTACCACATTTTTTTTTTTTAAGGTAGGGAAGATCAGTAATTGGTCTCATTTCCAAAACTAAACAGATATGAATTTTCTCGTATTTTATGTTATCAAAACTCAGCTGTAGTGACCGTCTCTCATAGAAAAACATGTGCCTACAATTTCTTAGTGGTGTTTGTAGAAATATCGGCAACTCTCAGTAATAGCAAATATTGTGTTCCCTTTGAAAAACCTAATAATCTCCTATAAAACCTGAAGAATAAACACCGAGAGGCAGCTTATTTTTCTCTTGTCTCTTTGCTTGTTTGTTTTTCAGGGTGTGAGTGCTTTCTTTCCTTTAGGGGTGAACCCATGGTGGCTCTATGCCTATTTCAACCAAAGTTGGAGGGTCTCACTAAACTCCCCGCCCCATTTCTAGAAACTAGTTCCGGTCTGTGTTGTCGAATTAGTGCGTACAGCACGCAATGGATCCTGGGAGATCAAGTCTCCGTACAACGAAGTTCCCAAAGCCTAAAGTGAACGTTGGACTTCAATTCCCACAATGCCTTGGCAAAGCCTCGTAAATCTCGCCAGAGCAACCGTGAGATGGCCGCCATCTTGCGTACGGAGTCGAGGTTTGCTGGCTTGGTTCTAAGGTTTGGGCTTGTAGTGGTCCTTGTCTCTGCTGTGAGGCTGTATCTACACGTTTATTTCAGTTTCTCGTAGGTTCATGTCTTTCTAAAGGTTTCATTTGGAGGTGAAGGTCAATGCAGAACTGTAGAGTAAGGTGAGTAAACAACCTGTTTTAAGTGAGGATCGGGTGGGTAGTGGCGGTGCTAGTTTATCGCTTTCTTTTTCACTATCGACTGGCGTTCTTGCCGGTGCATAGCTGGACACTTTAGGTTCGTTTTAAACATTAAATGTCTGGAGTGACCCTTTCTCCTTCGAGGCCCTCCAGATTCCTAGAAAGAACTATAAATACCTCCGCTGGGACAAAGAAACTGGGTGACGCACTTTTACACGGACTACCCCTCATGAGGCGGTGTGGGCGAGAGGCGGTGGGGTTCAGATCGTATACTGGCCATGCCATGCTTTGTTAACGCACTCTTCCTAGCGCATCACGGGGACTTTTCTGACATTTCGAATAAGGAAATGAATGAGCGCAGAGAGCTAGCTGAGACGGGTAGCTGTTTCCGGGAGGACGGCATTCCTTTACAGTTGTGTATTTCTTTAGACTCTGCTCTCTGCTCTATTCTCTGTAGTTCATCTCTTTGCCCTTTGCTTTTTTCGTGTTATAAAACGGTATATCATAGGACTAGTAAAATGAAGTATTAATTAAACCAGGCTTCTGGGTTTTACTCATGAAGGTCCCTAAGAAATTTCAAAGCAAGCAGTTTTTCTCAATGTAGACCTAGACCGATTCTCTGAAAAAGATGAGTGCTTTGATTTTGAAAGTTGCTATTTCTTTTCTAATCATAATGTAGTGTATTTCTGTTCTTCTCACTGCTACTGAAGTTATCCTTTCTTTTGAATTAATGGACTTTATACATTTGGACACCTCTCTTGCACTACTTACAGGATAGGGCCCATGAAGTCTAGGATTTTAGTTTGGTTACTAAGGAGATGGAATTATCAGAGGTTTGGGAACGGGATCCATATACTACTCGTCAGGGCATAGAGACTTTTAACAGGAAGACGTTTATGATGCCATTTGTCACAACCAGTTTCGATGTGTCAATTTTGTTTGTTGATTTGCTTTCAATAGTACACAGTTGAATGTGTGTATACCATCAAATATATATTATTGATTTAATTTCCCAAACTTACATATTTTAAGTTCTATAAATTCAGAATTATAACATTTAGATTAAAAAAAGTATTCTTTAAAAAGGGTACTTATCTTTAATTAAATCCCACCCATAAATCGTTGTGTTATACCAATACTTAAATCCTAAGAGGTTGTAAAATTAGGATTTTATAAATTTTATATTTTGAGAAACTATTATTATTAAATGCTATGTTCGGGGCAGAAGTAATGATGTACAAGATGGGCCAAAGATTTAAATGTCTTTTTTTAGTTTCTGTTTAAGTTTTATTAGGTTTGGTAAACATTAGTTATTAATTATATGATTTGTTTGCTGTGCAGATGCCTTATGGTGAAATTGAAGCTAAATCCTTGCGATGTGGGAAAGAACTAACAAGTGAACCATGTTATAAAAAATTTAAGTCAACTGAAGAAGCTTATGTTTTTCCCCATCCTGGTAATGCTAATTTTTACAAAATTCAACAGAAAACTGGAAATGATTGGGTCTCTGTCACCAAAGTTGATGTCAGAAAGCATAGTTATTCTCAAGAGGATAAACCCAAAACTACAGACTTGCACAAACCTGTTCACAGTGAGAAACCTGGAAATAGGCCAGGTGTTACTAGATCCATTGGTTCACAAGTTTTACAGGGTACAAGGCCTACATTGGTATCCAGAGATGATGAGATATATAGCACAAGTAAAGCATTTATAGGACCCCTTTACAAACCCCCTGAGAAAAAAACTTATAGTAAAAAGAAGAAACAAACAGACACTGTCAATGGTATAGATGGCAAAGGAAGACAAGAACAGAAACAGAAATTTAACTTAAAAAAATCAGAGATTGACAATGAATTATTTCAGTTTTACAAAGAAATTGAAGAGCTTGAAAATGAAAAGGATGATACAGAAGGGATTTGTAAGGAATCTGAACCCTCTGGGGATGAGTTCATTCCATGTTACCAGGACAATAATAACGATCTGTTAAAGTCTGAAGAAGAGAAGAAAACAGACTTTACTAATCCTCCTCAGTCACACTGTGATTATCAAACGAATGTAGGGAATGAACCAGACAAATATCTTTGTAATGGACAAGTAAAAATTACATCTTGTGACCTTTCATCGACTTCTTTCAAGTCTGAATGGCCATCAGGACATTCTTTTTTAGCATCCCAAGATCCTCTTCCCAGTTTTGACTATCAAAAAGTCAGTACTCCACCCAGTCCACCACCAAATACTTTTCATCCTCACAATGGCTCGCTTATGCAAAATGGATATTACGTAAATAATTGTAATGTTAACTGGAATTGTTCGACTTTTGATCCAAACAAAGAATATATTGATTGTAGTGAGAGTAGAAATGGCTGTAGTGGACAACCTGGTTATGTTGATAATGGTTTCTATGAAACTGGTGAAGGATGCTGGAAAGACCCTTCTATGGACACATGTAATAGAACAGACAGATTTATGAACGAACCATTTCAAGAGGAAAAGTTAAATAAATTGCAGAAGTTACTTATTTTATTAAGAGGCTTGCCTGGTTCTGGGAAAACGACGTTATCTCGGTAAGTAAAGGATACCAAGTGAATACTTGGTAATTCATCTTAAAAATTATAAATGGTAGTTGATAGTTGTAATCAAGTCAGATGCTTTCTAGTAGAAAATCTGTAACTTGTTATACTTGAGGATAGCATCTGACTAAATATTTTGAAGGAGTTTTCTGATAGGAGAGTTGGCATATAGATATATATGTGTGTCATTACATATATGCCAACTCTCTCCTCTCAGAAAACAAGAACAATATATTATGTGCACATATATGTATGTGTATAAAGATTATGCTATTTATCAAATGCTAGTGATGAAAGTAAATGCTACTTTGAGGGCTTTGCTGCCCTACCTTTTAAAGTCAGCTATTCAGGAAGTGAGTTGTGCTTAGTGTTAGAAGTTTGGGTTTTGACTCAACCTTGGACAGGTTTTGCTGTCTGTTAATAGAATGAATAATACTTATTGTTTTGGAATTATTGTGAGAAAGAACAATATAGAGCAAAGGATTTTTTTTGAGTGTTTCAAGTACTGCTGTGGTGGTCATATAGTTGGTTGTCAGATAGTGACCTTTTTTGGTTCCTTATAATGTATGGAGTTATTTTTTTTTTTAGATTTATGTATTTATGCATACAGAACTGGGGTACAGGCCAGAGGTGCAGGGGCAGGAAAGTGAAGAGCAGAACACGCTCACGAGAGAGAAAGTGAGGAGCAGAACACGCAGATCCATGAAGTATACACTGCTGAAGGCAGCAGGGGGTGAGACAGGAGAGATCTACTTCACCTTGTGGCCATTTCCCTTCTCTGGGATCAAACTTGGGCTGAAGTGGTTGCTGCCAACTGTGCAGAGCTGTGCTTTAACCAGAGAGGGCCCTTTTGTATGGGGTTTGAAGTGAGCTATAAGTGAGCTGGTGATGTTTTATTATATAACAAAATGTTTCAAATTTCTGGCTTTTTTTACAGTTTTAAAAGACTGTTGATAAATTTGATTACATACCTGCTGCTGTTAAAAAAGGAGAGGAGAAATAACACATTCTTTGCAGTTTATATATATTCAAGATTTATGCCAGATATTGCAAAAAAAAGTATTTGATACCTTTAGATACCTTTAGATGAAGATGTTAAGGTTCAAGGAAACACTTTCTAAATATTTTATACTTAGAACAATCTAAACAAAGGTTTTTTTCAGAAGCAAGAAATTAGAGGAAGGTTAAGTTTATGATGTAATATTTCAAGGTAGGTTGTAAGCTGTGATTTTAGTAAATGAATTTAAATTTGGTCTTTATTGTTTGATTCCTCTTTAGTAAAGATTGTGTAGAAAAGATGAAAACTCAGCTCTTTAAAAAGGATGGAAGGGTCCTCCCAGATGGCGCAGCAGGTTAAAGCACAACACTATGAAGCACAGCAGTATGGCGAGCAGGTTAAAGCACAGCCACTGCAACATGAGTTCTATCCTCAGCCAGGCAGATGATCCACATGGCGTGGCAGACCTCTCCTGACCCACCCACTGCTCCCCTCAGCATGTACTTCGTACTACTGTCTGTTCTGCTTTCCACATTGTCTCTGCTGAAATCTCTCATCCCCCCTCTCCCAAACCTCTGGCCTGTACCCTAGTAGTTCTTACATGCATAAACAATAAATCTTTTTCCAAAAGTTTTAAAAATAAATAAAATTCAATTAAAAAGATGGAAATAAACAGTGCACTTGTTGCAGAGGTATGGGGGATCTAGATTTAGGGTATAATGTGTGAAAAGAAATGCATAGTTTAAATTTAGAAGTTGAATGAAATTGCTTGAGAGTGGGTGTAGAATAAACAGGGAAAAAGTATTTGAGACAACACTGGAGTAAGGAGAATAAAATAATGTAAAGCAATAGAATTTTTAGAGAATAAGAGATGATAAGGGTAATCATATGTAGTATATATCTGTGTTTAAGTAATTACACAGAATGGAAGCTATGTTTGTAATTGTCATTTGTATCATGATTTACAATTTATAGAATCCTTTAACATATAAAAGTCTTCTGCGATGGGTTGTATCTTTTCATTTTAAGGAAGGAGAAGAGGCTAAAGGGGAGTAAGTTAAGGTTCAGGGACTTGGAAGAGTTGCAAAAACTGGAGATCAACAGGTAATATAAATGATAGTATGTTTCTACTTTGCTCCTGCACTTTAATATCTATAGTTCTCTACCTAACGGTTTATTTTGAGGAACTTGGTTAAAGAAGCAGAAGTGCCTCTTTAGGTCAGTCAACATTTTTTGAGTGAAGTAGGTAGGTCTAGTTGCTTGGGATTGGATATAAAACATATTCTTTGATGAGGAATTGTTTCACTTAAGAGTTGACTTTCCTAACAAGCTTTGAAGAAAGAAAGGATTGGTCGATTAGAGTTTAACCTATTTGGGTAACTAAATTAAGATTTAAGGATAGCATTGGTTAGTATTGGTATGTAGTAATGAGTATAGGAACTTTAAGTTTAGATTTTTGGAAGGTAATGTTCAAATTCCTTTCTTAATTTAGACCTTACTCATTTCTCTATCTTTATAACCACCTGCACTTAGGCAGGTATCTTGCCACAACGGCAGGATATATTCATCCATTTTCTCTGGACTCTGCACTTATTCAAAAGATCTCTTAAATGGTTACTTTTTGAGACTTATCTCAATCCTCAGTAATCCTTCTAAATTCATGTCGTTTTTACCTTTGATATTCTTTGCATTTTTATACAAGCTACATATACAAATTCATCCTTTTATTTATTGATGGGTGAACTAAGTCAGTTAAGTGATTGTGCTGTTTATCCATAACTTCACTAACTAGCTTTAATTGAAATCATTCTTAGACTAAATTCTAACATATATATACTGACTTAAAATATTATGAATTAGGGCCGTTCCTGGTGGCATAGTGGGTTAAAGCATAATACTAAGAAGCTAAAGCCACTGCAGCATGAGTTCGATCCCAGCCCCAGAGGTGACCCACATGGCGTGGCAGACTTCTTGATCCACCCGCTGTTCCCCTTGGCAGTGTACTCTGACGATCTGCCTGTTCTGCTGCCCACTATGTCTGGTGAATTCTCTCACCGCCCCCCTGCACCTCTGGCCTGTACCCCAGTTCTGTATGCAGAAATAAATCTTTTTTTTTTAAATTATGAATTAAATATTAAGCCAACACAAAACAGTGCATACAACCTTTGTACTTAGGATAAGTGCCATCTCTTTGTCCTTGTAGGCATATTGACAGCATTTTATTGAAAAATTCACTCTAGACAGAACTCAAAGGTGTTCTGGAGTTTTGTTACCATTGTAGTTGGCAACAGTCAAACAGAATACTTGGACTCAGTGATTGGCTATAGAACCATTTAAGGTATCAAGCCTTGGGTGTAAGTCCTAGAGTTGTGGGCTATAGATTTTGTTACATTCTTTTTTTTTTTTTTTTTTTGCTGAGTAAATTTTTTGTAATAGTTTATTTTTACATAATTTTATGCCTTTTTCCATCTCAGTTGTAATCTCTGTGTAATTCCCTGTGTAATTGGTGTAAGTCCCATCACCAATACACCTGTGTGCCATTACCATAGCCCCTTGCACTTCCCTCCACCATTTTTAATCCCACTCCTCACTCTACTCCCATAAAATGTCTCTGGTATATAGTTGTTAATTATTTTAACCCCCTGGTACTTTATGCTCCTGCTATGAGTGAAACCATCTAGTATTTTTCTTTTTCTTTCTGGCTTATTTCACTGAGCATGATCCCTTCCAGCTCTATCCATGTTGCTGCAAAAGGCATGGGTTTATCTTTTTTGATTGCTGAGTAATAATCCATTGTGTATATGTACCACATCTTTTTAATCCAGTCATGTACTTTTGGGCATTTGGGTTGATTCCATGTCTTTCCTATTGTAGATAAAGCAGCAGTAGACATGGAGGTGCAGGTGTCTTTTTGAATCATTGTTTTTGTGTCTTTTAGGAAGATACTTAGGAGTGGGATTGCTGGGTCATATGGAAGCTCCATTCTTAGCAGTTTGAGAAACCTCCAGTTTTCCAAAGTGGTTGTACTAGTTTGTATTCCCACCAGCAGTGCAGGAGAGTTCCTTTTCTCCACATCCTTGCCAACATTTGTTGTTGCTAGTTGTTTGAAGATGTGCCATTCTCACTGGAGTGAGGTGGTATCTCATTGTGGTTTTAATTTGCATCTCCCATATTACAAGTGATGAACATTTTTTCATATGCTTGTTGGCCGTCTGCATTTCCTCTTTGGAGAAGTGTCTTTTTAGTTCTTCTGCCCATTTTTTGATGGAGTTGTTTGTTTTTGTTAAGTTTCATCAGTTCTTTGTATATCTTTGTGATCACTCCTTCATTGTTAGTATTGTGTGAAAAAAAATTTTCCCACTCAGTGGGTATCTGTTTTTTGTAATGTCTCTTTTGCTGTACAGAAGCTCTTTAACTTGGTGTAGTCCAGCTGTTTATCCTTTCCCTCACTATCATTATGTTGGGTGCTGTATCATATAGTTCAGTAGAAGTGTATGTTGTGTAGTGTTTCACCCACCTTTGCTTCCAGTTATTTTATGGTTTCAGGTCTTATGTCTAGGTCTTTGTCCACTTCGAGTTGGTTTTGTGCATGGTACAAGGTAGTGATCTAGTTTCTTTTTTTTTTTTTTTAAGATTTATTTATATATACATACACAACTGGGGTACAAGGCAGAGATACAGGGATGGTGTGAAGATTCACCAGAGACAGAGTTGAGAGCACAACAGGCCAACCGACAAAGTACACTGCTGAGGGGAGCAGTGGGTGGGTCAGGAGAGGTCTGCTGGGCCATGTGGATCACCTCTGGGATGGAGATCGAAGTCATGCTGAAGGGGTTTTAGCTTCTTAGTGCTGTGCTTTAACCTGATGTGCCACCAGGGAGGGCCCTAGTTTCTTTTTTTTTTTTTTTTTTTGCATATAGATTTTGCTACATTCTTATTCCCTGTTAATGTAAGGAGGAAGGGTGAATCTAAGATACTTTACCAAATGCACATTTCT